CCCACGTTTGCCTTATGCAACGTCTTCAATAAATAAATAAATAAATTTGGCGAGCCAATTCTTGAATGTATCTTGAGAGATAACGTCCTTGCTGTATATATCCTTTAGCTTGTTATGTCTCGCTATTTTGATGCTAGAAAAGGCGTAGACATTTCCACATGTGACTAGTAAATACCAAGAATCAACAAAAAACAATAACGACAAGAGATCATTCGAAGAGGCCAGTTAAGTTTTGAAGAGGCACGGTATTAGAATTACCGAGCATACCCATATTGGGTTATCGGGTAGAGCCAATCTTCATAGTGAGTGAGTGCACTAGAACTGGTGGAACCAAAAATCGAATTCATTCAAAATAAACACAAGCTTGCTGAGTTATGAGCGAAACCTCGGCCTTCCGCTCGAATCCGTACTTATGCGTGCCCCACAGCGAGATACTAATTGCGAGATACATCCGATTACCATAGGGTGTACCGACCAGGAGGTTGTCGTTCGCCATGGCCTCCTGTTCTTTTGGTGGCGGAATCGGGTTCAAAGTTTCATTTTCGTGCAGGATAATGCACCCATTTATACGAGAGAGAGCCCGAATTCTTCCTCAGCTGTCATCATGTGCCCTTTCTGCCCTGATCTGTAAGAAGCTCTGATGTCAACTTGATGGAAAACTAGGGTTCCATCGTCCTATTTAGTTATGCCGGCAGTACCCACTTTGAAAACACTGATGAGCAAGACTTATTCGGCTTTTTACGAATAAATGAAACCATAACCGTGCCACGGAGTAGAGCTGAAGAATCCTACCTCATCTCTCCCGACTACCTACCCTACCTCCTGAATTTCTTTGTTTCTAAACTTCCTAGGCTCTTTTATCCTCGGCAAATAGATTATCCCTTCAAAATCTATGGTGAGATGGCCCTAAACAGGATCGACTGTATAACAATGACAAGACATTGTATGACACTTTGTGTGCAGAGCCGTCTCACCTCGTGCTCGTATATCATCGCTGGGTTCTCGTCTATCATTATAGCAATCATTTGACCACTGAACCTGCTCACATCTGGCTTCTCAGGGAAGTCTATGGTCATGCAAGCATAATATGTTTGTTTTCTTCAGTGTAGTACAATTCGTTACCATATCCAGTTCTCCTGGCTTCTGTTCGGTTATTCTAGAGGAACAAAATTCGTGTACCGCTGCGCTTCATACGCAAACAATTTTTCGGTACTTCTAAGGCGAGGATGTAAAGTTTACAGCACGTGCAAGAACATCATCTGTATCACCTACAGTTCCGATGGTCATCAGTTTGCTCTGGCACGTGCAAGTGTTGTCTCCAATCGTCTCTGTTGAGAGCCAGTGAAGTCTAATGCTTCTTCCCGCTGGAGGGAGATAAACGTACTATTCTCTTAGTTCAGAGCTTATTATGCAGTCACTGATCGCGCGGCCTAATGCTGACCGAAGTCGTGTTGGGCCTACATGATTTCGATTTTCTGGCATGAGCAACGGCGTTCCTAATTTTCTTGGACGTGGCTCAGAAGTCCGGAAACCCCTCTCATTTGTGTGTGTGTCGGTTAACTCCGAACATCATCGTCCCNCCCACAGCGCGTCAAGCGACTGCACAGCCATTCTGTTAGAGTGAAGTTCAAATTCCCGAGGAACAATTTGATGCAGGAAGAAGCGCGTGTTCTAAAGAAAGGCACGCAGCCGGATGTCCCTGTATTTTTCAACACGCCCTCAATACTCATGGATCACCCAAGATACTCGTTTCCTTCCGCTCCGTACCAGAGCAAAGTTATTTATCACGTTAATTCCTCAGTCGAGATATATCAGCGGGAGCATCAGGTAGCAGACTATTTTTCACGAATAGCGCCTAGGCCGAGCCGATGATTGATCTTTCGATAAGAACACATGGGTGACAAAAGTCCAAACAACTCTTTACTACGTAGAAATCAATTTGCAATCCTCGGTTCTGGAAATCTGAGTAGTCTACTAGCCCTACTTCCCTGCAACCACTCACATAAAGCTCATCAAGTTGTAGGTACACTGTCTTCCCATGGTTATTGGTAACAATTCTGGATCAAAACGTGCCACCACCAATAACAGGAAAGCTGTATCAATCAAAATCTGTTGATCCTAGCTCTTGAAGTTGCTACAACAAAACAATCTAATGGATGAATCAAGTGACATTGACAAACAGCATGCGTTGACTTCTTTCTATGGAGGAGTTCATGTACCCATCAATCACTTGTCTTCAGACAGATGGCTTTAGATTTATTGGTTTCTATGATTTCCAAGAATACTAGCTGCACTCAAAGATGGCTCTTGTAAGAATACGATCATATAAGCATATATACAAAGGACGTGCAGAGAAGCGTGGCTGAACCCTCCGTTGGAGGGATGCGTTTGTTTCAAAAGTCAGTGCAGTGATACCTTTGGGGGGAGGGATCTAGCTGCATCTCTTCAATGGTAATTCCACTGGTCTAGCACCACTAGAACCATTTTTGATTATTTATACTTGTTCTCTATTCGCTGCAGTATGAGGTGACGGTGGTCGCTGCAAAGTATCTGTAAGAGCGCGGCACAGCCAGGCATGACCAAACTCAACAAAAAAGATAAAAAAGAGATTACAAATGTGAGATACAAACTTTGAACATCTTCGACCAAAAAATACTCAGTTTTAATGATGTTTAGAAGATTCTTGTAAGCAACATTGCTTCCTCTTTATTTCCTCTTATCAAAGCCAGTGTCTTTTTTTATGACAACAGTCTGTACCATATATACCGATAGTGACCAAATGGCACGCAGTCAAAATGGTGGTGAGTTATCGCCTGTTCCCCCATGAAGTTCCATAACAGTCAGCAGACGACAAACGAAGCTTATTTCAGAAGTATTTTATGCTTATACTCTTCGCATATACACATGCAAGGTTGGGACTTGCTTCCAAAACAGGAGTACCCGGTACGTTACCACTTTGTCGCATGCGAGGCTAGCCTTAAATGCATTGTTGATCGACCTCTTTTCAACTGCAGATAAAACTCAGCAAGTTCCTTCCAAAGCTCAGATGCTCAGCGGCGAAGCCTTAGTCAAGTATGTTAACGAGAATCAAATATTGTTCAAGGTAATACTTTGTTAGCTGAAATATAAGAAAAAAATTTGCAGTTGGTTGCAGGCCAAGATCACGCCGGCAAGCCATGAAGTAAAATATAAATTGATGGATTTGAAATTCAAAAGACAGGTCAGTGAAGAGGTTGTTGACGACGACAGCGGCATCGATATTGACATACCAGAAAGGTATGTCGTCAGCTTTGTGAAGTTATTCAGAGCTCGAGAGCCGAGCTATGCAGCTGTCAGAGAATCGAGAGAGCGAAAGAGAGAAGAAAAAGTGTAAAACATATACAGTCTACACAAGTACTCACATATAAAACAGGCAGACAAGACACACGCAAAAATATACAGTCATGGACACACACATACACACAGGTTTCTCATGATGAGTGTCTCATAAAATGTTGGTTTGTCTAATTTCGAGTATATGATTGAGTTGTTTGCAAGTATTCGTGCGTGCCTCTGAAATACACATACATGGATTGGTGCATTCAGTTCCAGTGAGTATTATCGGAGCAATTCAAATTTCTCATCTGATCCTACAATGAAAAGAAGCGCCAGCAGAATTCAGCGCTTTGTGTGTTTTAAGAGTCTAAACAGATCTATATCTTCAAATTCGACTAACTGGCTATATTGAGCCACTCTGTGTGTAACAAGATCTTTTTTTTTCTCCGGCATTCTGTGATGCACTATTGCCCCTAACCCGTATTCCGAGGCATCGGTGCCAATAGCATCGGTACCTGGGTGACATAATTAATCAGAACATCTGTTTCCGTCAAACGCTGCCTGATTTTTCCGAATGTGTTTTTCTGCGGAGGAATGAGTTTGGAAAGAAAAAACACCTGGTGTACAGTTTTATGATGAAATAGACCACATCATCTTTATACGAAGATTTTGCCTGCTGACGTCGCAGTTGATATGAAGTTTTATACAGGATCGGACCGTCGTCTCCCGTGCTAGATTCTGCTTCTCAGTGCGTGGAGAGAGAGCTATGAAGTTTAGGAAACGAAGCCCCAAAACCTCTATCAACCAATACCACATCACTTCCCTTGCGAGTGAATGCGAAGATTCCGTTATCGACAACATCGATGAAGAGTACAGCCGGCTGGTAGTACATCTTCACAATAGCGCTAAGAAAGCAGAGAGTCTACAAGTAGCCAAAAGAGGACTCCCTTCGAAGACTCTCGAGCTGATGCGCCAGCGTGGAATCGCGCGAGCTACAGGCAATCACCAACAAACGTCCGAACTTGCGAAGCTATGCAGAAATGAGATAAAGAAAAACGTGAAAGAGAGAAAAGCAGTAGTTATGGACGAAGCTGTCGAGGCCGGAAAAAGCATTTGCAAAGCCCAACGGAGCTTTGCCAATTACAAAGGACTTCCCTTAATCGTCTTAACGAAAAATTACTGCAACTCGAAGGGCAATTGAGAAGGTCATATGCCACTTCTACTCGAATCTCCTCGACAGCTACGTCTACCTGCCTAATTACCATCCTAGGCGAGACGAATACGTCGTCTCTTCAATCCTCCCTTCCAGAATTCAACGTGCCATCACGTCGATGAGAATTTGTACGGCAGCCGGGTATGATAGGATCAAACCGAACATCTAAGGGGTCTTCCACACCTTATCGTCAAAGCTCTGGCTAGGCTTTCACGCGGAACTGTCGGAATGCAAAGTGCCCACGTCGCGGAAATTTAGCAAGTCTATGATGCTGTACAAGCAGGGCGGTTCCAACGATATCGGTAATTATCGCCTAATCTGCCTGCTGTCTGTAATCTACAAACATTTGCACGCCTCATACGGCCATGCGAGCAGAGTTTTGGAGAGGGTTCAGCACAATCGATCGTATCCACACTCTTACAAGACTCATTGAAGTATCATGAGAGTACAAAATGCCGTAATTTTTACGTTTATCTATTCGAACAGAACCTTTAACACCGTTGAGGCAGAAACGGTAATTGAAGCCCTTGGCAACAAGGTTGTTCCTACTCAATACATAAGGGTGCTCCGTGAGCTCTGCAACAACTTTACGACTAGGATTTCGCCATTTGATGAATAAGTCATCATCAACGTGAAGAGAGGAGCTCGCACGGCGATACCATTTCGCCAAAACTTTTTGCCACTATCGAGAACATCATGCGTCATGTGGAATGGGAAGGCTGGGGTGAAGTTCGACGGCTGCTACTTACATCATCTCCCCTTTGCAGATGACATCGTGCTTATAACACCGACCATCGAGCAGGCGAAACGAATGCTGGCCGAATTGGACAGTGTTTGTGGAAAGATCGGCTTACGACTGAACCTGACGAAGACGATGTTCTGATGCTCCTTTCACCTTTAACGCTGAACTCTGACTACGTGTATCTAGATCGGAAGTCAACATAACGAAGGATTATCTCCGGAGCTGAGCAGAAGGAAACGCGCCGCGTGGGGAGACGACGTCAAGCATATTAGGCATATTAGTCCTGGCCTGCACATTCTTCTTAAACGTTCCGCGTATACTATGTATTATATTTGACCCACTAGCTTCATGTGCTCTTTCATAAATACACAATTCTAACGCTTCACCAATAGTCGACCTCTCCCATGAATTCCAATACTTCTTGGAACCTTGTTAGGTGCGCCACGTCATCTGGGCCGTCACCTCGATATTATCGACTTATATAATTACTCCTTCTATTCCTGCCAACGTAAGTCCCATAATCCTTTGCGAAATCGCGAGTATGGAGGCTATGCCGAATGTGAGTTTATTATATGCGAGCATCCATTTGTGCTTATTGATGTAGTGTATGTTTTGGACTCTTGTTTCTAGCTCCAGCTGCACACATGCGTTCGATAAATCCATTTAAGGAAACTTTTGACTTTCATTCGACATTTGAAAGCAGTCATTCGGTTTAGGAAGCGATATTGGTTAATATCCACTTGCGAATTGACCGTCACCTTGTAGTCTCCACACGGCCTGTTCTTTCCCCCCGTTCCCGGCATTACTATCAGAGAAGTAGCCCATTTCAAGTGTTCTACTCTCGCTAGGATGCCATTCCCCCCCCCCCCCCCCCCCCCNCCCCCCCAACTCCTTGAGTTTTCCTCCTAATTTAGATCTCAACGACAATGGAACCGTTTTTCCAATCATTTATCTTCCACAATTAGGATGGCCTGCTGCCCTCAACACGTACACGTCCATATTCTCTGACTGCCCTTCAAATTGTAACATAACATGATATCTTCCAACAAAGCTGATAGGACTCTTATTATATGCTTTTTTTGTTCAAATTCGGTCGGCCTGACTTCTGCGCCATGTTGTCTAGTCTACTATAGACACTAAGCCCCAGACGAGCTCAAAACTACAGTACTCGCCGTAAGAACTCAAAAATTTGCGATAATACCGCGAGTTCGCGTCTTTTTCGTCTTTTCTTTATGAATCGCTTTAAAATAAAATAATCGAGGAGAAAAAAACAACGTTGAGCTCAGCTCATCGAGCTCTACAAGATGATACCTTAAAATGTTGAAAATACTTTATTTTGGATTGCGCCATGTACTTGAGCTCCATCCGAAAAGTGATTGCATGCACATGGGGTGCACGCTTTAGTGCTTGAAGGAGCTCATTGGTCCCTGAAGGTGATCTGTTCAGAATTTGCTTCGGATTGCGCCACGCACTCGATTTTACGCAGTACAATGTGGTAATGATTGTTGGTTTTGTTCTGTCTCCATCGTTCCTTTTTTAAGTTCGAGGCTGCAGATGACTACATTTATGGCCTCTGCACTCAACACTCCTCTTTACAGGTTCCATTGAGAAAATGACATCAATTTACGGCAAAATAACAAAGTCGATTTTTTTGGCATCTTCCAATTTTTGGAGGAATTTTTCTACGGAATATGGGGAGATGGTGTTGAGGCACTTCACTGTCGTAGACATCTCTTTATTGTCTGCGAGCCTGTAGTGGCACACCTTGCCATAGATCAAAATTTCCCCCTTGGTATGGCCCCAAACCTCGAACATCGTCAAGCCCAAATCATAAAGCAATGTTTTTGCCTTTCCGTTGGCCTTTTCGTAGCTGCGTTGTACACTTTCAGATTCCCTGTGAAAAATCCTATCGAATGATATATAGGTCAACCCCTGAAGAAAACCTCCCCCCACAACCACTTCTGCTGTAGGCCTGTCTCCGAGCGGTTTCCTGCAGGGCATGTTTGGATTCAGATGCGGCAGGGTACTGTAGTGGCGGGAATTCAGAGGCTTTTGAATGATAATTACATGAGTGGGGCATTAGATCTGCTGGTGGCGGGGTACTGAAGTGGCGAGAAGGAGGGTGGATCGATTAATGTTGGCTTGAGTGGGGGGGGGGTAAGATCTGCAGGGGACGGAGTACTGTAGTGGCGGGAAAGTGGG